ATATATACATATATATTGATACATTTTATTATACCTTACATATACATATATATATGTATATATATATACATTATGTTAAAGGATGCAATTCTTACGAAGTGACGTGTATATATAATTCCAATTAATTATAAAAACAAATAACAGATCTTTTTATTTTCCTAAAAAAAAAAAAAATCAATGCAATATTAAATATTCTAAATTAACCCTTTCGTTATAACTATCGGTCCCCATAAAGGAATCATACGCTCTAAGGCTCCTAAATCCCATATAGGGGTCGTCAGTGCAAAGACCGCCATATGAACAACCCCTCATCATAAGGGTCGTGTATCATGAAATTCTGCGCATGTACAAGCGAATTTATTTGAAAAACGATACTCGTGTCAAAAGGATGCCCTAAACGAAAGGGTTCAAAGAGTTTCGCAAAGAATGAAATGTAATAATAAATGTGAAAATGATCAAACGCGTATCATCATACAATGTATTTGTTGATTGGTAGTAGTAGTAGTAGTAGTAGTAGTAGTAGTAGTAGTAGTAGTAGCAGCAGCAGTAGTAGTAGTAGTAGTAATAGTAGTAGTAGTATATTAACTTGGAAATAAAGAAATATATATATATATGTATATACCCCATGTGTCATATTTATATGACATGGGATATAAAATAGAGAAAAGTGTTGTAAAATGTTTGTTTATATATATATACATATTAAATATGAGAAATTAATAATTTGCTATTTTATTATTTAGCTATTTTTTTAACTTATTATAGAAAAAGTTTTTTTTCACACATATACAATTTTGCCATTTTTTCTTTTTTTAAATTTTGTTTTGTTTTGTTTTTTTTTGTTTGTAGTTTAATACTATTTTATGATAGTAATATAGTCATTTTTTTTTGTTTTTATCCGGATATATCTACAAAGAGGAAAATTATTATTATTATTATTATTATTATTATTTTGTTTTTTTTGTTTGTTATTTTTTTTTTGTTGTTTTTTTGTTTTGTTATTTTTCTTTTATATATATATATATATATATTATTTATAAGGAACCGATAACGTTCAGGATAAAGTTGGCATTATAATAAATAACAATTTTCATATCGTACATGTACAAACACAGGTTAATCTTCATCCGTTCCCTTTTGATATACCGCACCAAATTTGCTCATATATTTGCGAACAAAATCTTTAGCTTTGTGTTTAACATTTTCGTTACATTGTAATTCATCCACACTTTTACAATGTTTCAGCTCTTTAGCTAATACAAAATGTGTTAACTGAAATCAAACAAAATATATATTAAATAATATTCAATTTTAAATCATTCAAATATACAATGAAATATTTTCTACCTTTCTCGCTAGATGTTTAAAATCTTCCGTATTAGTTATACGACCTTGTTTGCAATCATTTTTTCTATATGGATTTAAGAAATGTACCATAACGTTGGCCATATTTATTCTAAAAGTATCCTTTATCTTTCTTTCCGACATGCTAGTAAAATCTGACGATGTTGATTGAGATTTGTTTAACCAATGTCTCGAATGAATTTTAGATTTATTACTACGCCTATGTTTTCTGAATTTATCTACATGCATTTTAAGTCTAGCCCTTTCCTTTTGTCTTCTTAATTTTTCTTTCAATTCTTTATAAGTTTTATGACCAACACGGTCTTCCTCTCTTCTTGGCTGTAATTTAAAACAAAAATATATTTATATATATATATATATATACAATAAATATTTTAAATTAATTAACAAATAAGAAAATATTTACACTAATGATCCTTTCTTGT